GTTTCTTTTAAAGAACAAACAAATGTTGCTGTTAATTGATGCGAAGAAAAAAAATTGTTTAATTGGAAGATTAACAGATTGCTTACTTTTATGTGCTTACAAATATGATACTAATAAAATAGGTGCAAAGGTAGACCTGCGACAGATAAATCACAATCAAACAGAAGACTATCTTTTGAACCTGTTTTTTGAACTCATTCCTCCTTATTATAAAACAAGATTTATTTTTAGTCCAGGTTTAAACCATTGAGTTGGGTTTTGAATTTTGAATCTAATTTTCATCTACCTTCAATTCGAAATACAAAAACTGGCTCAATGGTTTAGTCCTAGACTAAAGTAAAACCTTGTTTTGTAATAAGGCCGATTAAGTTTACCTAACCTATATCACTTTATAGGTTGACATTTTTGACACGTTTAGTTAAAACTGTCAACACACACCGACGTCTTTCTATGCCACTCAATAAAGGAATCTTTATGAGAACGCAAAAGGAACGTTTTAGGGTTAAATACGAGTACATTCGTAGTATTAAATGGTACCTTACGAACGTTTTACACAAGGTGCAGATGTGTGAGGGTGGGCGCAAGATGTACCGAAGTGGTTCCGTAGCTAATTTGCCATCTGCGTCGACGACCATCACTATTGCTTAATGACTTGTCTTGACACTTTCTATCTCCCTCTTCTTACACGTAATGGAAAGGTTTGACCATATTTTAAGACAGTTTATTTACGCATCTACTGCCTTTTTACCCGCGACTTCAGCCTCGTAGTCAATGGAACAAACTAGCCTATATTACTTTTGTTTTTTTTAAAGCGTTGGCCCACACTAGGATTTTCTCCTTTGTCATGGGTTCGTTTAAAATTTACAAACATACAAATTCACATACTCATATACAAATCCTATTGGTGGATCACACAAAGTCTCGAACCCGCTACAGGTTGCACAACAGCTAGCTGCCCAGCCATTACGCCAACCGTCAATCATCACTATCGAGCCTTATTACTTTTCCATACGACATACACAATAATTATACTAATATACAAACAAACTTTTCTCTTTATTTACTAGGGATTATGACTTATTTTTATTTAATGACCGTTTATCGCTTCGGTCGTAATTCAATATATTATAAAACAATTGTTTGTTACGGAATCCAAATATGACGAAATAATGTGTCGTCACAACCGAATAGCGACCTCTCATCCCAAAAATCAGAGTCAAAGTCAAATTGAAAGTATTCCAAATCTATACTATAAAGAGGTAAGTTTGTATTTAGGGAGTAATCTTTGGAACAGCTGGCCGGATTGCCAAAATTCCTTCACTGATAGATAGCTACAAGGTTCCTGAGTGCTATAGGCTATAAAACATCGAGCTACGATTAAATGGAGCTGAACAGCGTGTGTGATATGTTGATAAGAAGTGTGTCCTATGCCTGTGCTAATTTTCATCTAGATCCGTCCGGCCGTTTTGGCGCGCTTGAGTAACAAACATGTAAACATCGTAACTTTTGCATTTATAATATTAGTAAGATAACAACTTTTTACACGTATGAATACGTATGATGAATGTGAGCCCCCTTGTGACTTGAAAATAGTAGAGCGTTTTTCTTATTTAATTCAATTGAGCAATTTTTTGTATGTCTCACGATCAATACTTACTATTAAATTCATTTAGTTTCTTGAATCTTTACATCTAAACTAATAATATTATAAAGAGGTAAAAATTGTAAGTTTGTATGAAATGTTTGGAACCGCTGGTCGGATTTCCAAAATTCTTTAACTAATAGTTAGCTACAATGTTCCTAAGTGCTATAGGCTATCAAACATCACGCTACGATTAAATGGAGCCGAGCAGCGGGTGAAACTGCGCGAGAGTATCTAGTTACTGATGATGATGAATGATGAAAATTTTAACATACTTCTATTTATTTATGTCAACAGTTTCCAACACAAAACTTCCATATAAAAGTTTTAACATATTATGTGTAAGTACCTAGTAGTAAAACCAAACACGAAAGTCATATGTAAGTATATGAAAATAACATCTACCTACATATAAGCAACAAGAATATTCTATAATACAAAGCAGCGTATAGACATTTTATTTTATTTGTTCAACAAAACAGTATACGGGAACATTTTGTGTCGTCACTAAACGCTGGTGATCGTAAAAGTAACGTTGCAGGCCTATAAATGTACTAAAACAACCAGTATAGAAACTCTCGGATGTCGGTAATGGCCTGCAGTAACCGACAAACAGCATTAACAACCTTAGGTATATAAATATATAATAAATTCCTATATAACAGTGACACATTTTTATGTTAGTATGTGGTATATCTAAACATATGTATGTATATAGGTATATTAAAAATGATACCTTTAATCGAGCGATTGTTGTAGGTTCAACATTATTATCTGCAGCCTATAAGTGCCTACAGCTGAGCAAAGGCCTCTTCTCACACGGAGAAGGTTACGGCATTAATCACCACGCTTGCTCAATGCGGGTTGGCGATTTCAAACTTATAATTAGAAATGACATACATTACATACGGTGACATACGGTGAAGGAAAACATCGTGAGGAAACCTTAATCGCCAATCCGCTTTGAGGAAGCGTGGTGATTAATGCTCAAACCTTATCCGTATGAGAAGAGGCCTTTGCTCAGCAGTGGGCACTTATAGGCTGATGATGATGAAGAAATTGGCGCCGCCCATGGACACTGGCAATACCAAGTAGTTACTACAAGTGTTACTTCTAGTCAGGCCTCGAGGCGGCAGCGCCGTGTCCCGCGAGCGCCTTATATAGAAGTCCTGCGGTCGGGATGACAGGGCCCGCCTGAGCATCTGGCGGGCCAATACCAGTCGGGGGGATGCGACGAATGCTTCGGCGATACCCGCCCCTCCGACACATGGGTAATTGGAGGAACGCCGGGTTGGTTTTTAGTCAGTGAGAGTCTGGCAGTACCCTTCGCTCTTCCCCGAGGGCGATGGGTCTCCACGAGGACTTTTAAAAACGACACCAAAAAAAATGCTACTACTTGTACTACAAGGAGTTACCACATTACTTATTTAATCGCTGTACTTTACTTTTAAGAAATAAGTGTGCTATCTGATTTAATAACATTATGACGATTTTATACAAAAGTAGCTTCATAAGCTAGTACAAAAGAAATGTATCCCAAGATTTAAAAAACATAACAAATAAAAAACATACTTTTAAGCGATTGCTTGACTAAAATACGGAAATTAAATATAATTTATAGCATTAAACCCTCTAGCACTCAGGACCATTGTAAACAGCTATCGATGAAAGAATTTTGGAAATCCGACCAGCGTTTCTAAATATTACCCCCTACATACAAACTTACTCACCTCTTTATAATATTACTAACTTTAACTACTAATTTTTAACATTTCACTAAATGTATTGAATCTGACTAGTTGGAAACTACAAAATTAATAGATAAAATAGGGAACGTAAAACCAATTTATTCAAAACCACATAGGAGGAGTTCATAACAGACGAATAACGAATAATTACTTCAGTAATTATTACAACAGATAGATGTTCATTCCCTATTGGCGAGGGCTTTCCGGAACCCTTGTTAATTTTAATTAAAATCGTCGTGTAGTCATCTAAACTTAATTGTTATACCTCCTCTACTTTTTTTAAAGGATAGGTCGCCAAACCATTTGGTCCCTGGTACCTGCACGTCGATTCTATAAAATTTGTTTGATTTTGAATCGTGTTCGAGTGCGAAGTGAACGTCGAAGTGACGGATAAATTAAATTTTAGAATGCCACTGTTAACGTCATTTCATACTTTATCTTTCAAAATGATGCTGTCAATTTAGTTCAACTCGCAACTGTAGCGCTAGTGTACTACTACTCACAGCGGATTCAGATTCGAAGTTTAGAATGAAGTCTTACAGAATCACACCCCTGGTGGTAAGCAAACACCACCGCCCATACACACTCGGTAGTATCAAAGGAGTTACAAGTGCGTTGTCGGTCTTTTGTGGGTTGTTAGGGATTTATGAGGAGGGACGTAGGTTTGGATATAAATGTGTTATTTCACCCCTTTTTTATGTGAGGGGAACTTCATTAAATGACTTATCCCGCCCAGGGCCTGGCGGGAGGGAGAGTCAGACTCTTACTGACCCAAAAACCCCCCGTTCCTTCTCCTGCTCTGGGCCGAGGTCGCGTGTCGCGGTACCTAATTGCGCTTATCCCGCAACCCAGGCTGAACATCAGCCCCGTCTGTATTGGTATATTGGCTCTTTGAGGCACGCACGGAACGCTCCGCGCCGTACGCTCGGGTCTGGTTCTGGTCGGCCGGCGAGCTACCCTTACTCGTCGTCCGCAGAACCGCGTCCGCACGCGCTTGCGGTGGCCGGAGATCATCTCTCGATCCCCGACGCCCGTTATTTCACCCCTTGTGTTGAGTCCGTGGTAACTGTTGTGTACTCCGGTCGAGCCGCCCCATTCGTACCAAAAAATGGCTCTCCCGCCTCAACTACCAATAACTATGCTCGTCGTAAATTAGATGTCATTTAACATTATTTGATACTTTATAGTGATTTGTATTAAAAAAATAAGTTCCACTTTCAACCAATTTATTCGCATAATACAGATTCACTTTATAATAGGTATGATGATTCGGACAAAATATCTAATATTCCGAATGAATCTATTAAAGTGTCTTAGAATATCAATAGTCTCATTAATGGATTTCATTTACGATTAAGCAGGTGCTTTGCAATTTTAAGTCAATTTTAATAGTTAAGATAATTAACTGTTATATTTGAAACAACGAATTGCCACAATTCAGTAATATCAAGCAAAATTCATTTAGATCTTGGTAAGACGAAAACAGTTTTTGACATTTCAAAAGAAGTACAGAATTTGGTTAGTCATTATTTTTACTTTCAAAATCTCGGCCTTTCTTCAATAATTTGGATCAATACAATAAACGAATTATTAATCAACGATAAACAACGTTAAACGAATAATGGTTCACCAGCTACAGCTTGGCCTTCTATTCCACAGTGATTTTCTCCACGTAGTATTTTAAAGTACCCGTTGTCGCCCCAGCCTGGGTTCCAAGAGTTTGCTATGAGCCAGTACTTAACGCCATTTTCGACTCCCCAGCCCAAAAGCTTGACAGCGTGCCTGCCAGCGCGCGCCCCGTCTGTATGTACATATACTCCTTTTTTGTAATGAACAAAGTCTCTATAAACTTCAAAAGTAACTTCTATGGGCCCATTTTTATACAGCTCAACTTTTATACTCTCTTCGTTGGAGTCAATACTAAACACTCTCTTGGCAAAACGCTTGTCCTTTGTATATTCTGTACCATAACCAGATTCGCAAGTTCTATCACAAGGTGGAGTTTTAACTTCTTCACCACAAGGTGGCAATGGACCATTACCACGTGTGTGATCACAGGGAGCTATCCCGTATGGTTTGCATCCCTCACTCGAATTATAATTCCCTCCAGACACAATGCCAGTTTCCTTCCAATAATTCCAAGCTGATGTAGGAATACCCCCGCCACAACCAATGCCGCAGCCATTGCAACAAGCAAGAAGATCATGAGCAGAGAAATGGAAATTTTGTTGGCCGTTAGAATATGTACAGTACCTATCAGTCATGGCTTCCACAGCTCCGAGCGCCCAGCAACTTCCACATGAACCTTGATCTCTTATTTCACTCAAGGAAGAGCAGTTCGGCCATTTCTCTCTCGGATCAAAGCTCTCTGGAAGATTATCACGAGTTTCCACATCATCGAGGTGATCAACTTTTTCCAAATCATGGAAATATTTATCTTCCATGACACCTAGTAAATTCTGTATGTATGAAAATGGTGTATTTTCCGGAAAATTTCTACCAGCTGTCCAAAAGTTTTGCTTGGAATTGATTAAGTCAATAAATTCGTCAGACATTGGATCCAGTTCCTGGTGGCCGTTGACTGCAACAAGAACACACAACACAACAAAAGTTACCCAATTAACTGCCATTTTCGACGACATTTCGGCACGTTTAAGCTATAATATGTGACGGTATACCTTTATATAGCTCATGACTATCACAAAACTATTCCTTTTATTACTAGTAAATAATTCCAGTCACTTGCTTATCATAGTAGTGGATATAACATTATTATATATGGAATTTTCTAAATGTTTTTAGGTATTTATCGACGTCTTATGATACTTGTTGTCGCGTATGGATATTTATTTAGGTTTAATACATATAAAGTGGACATTTTTATTTTCCGAAGAAGATTAAGATTTGTGTCAATTAATGTTACAATAATTAATTAATATTTATATGTTTTAATGGGACAACCCCAACACATCCTCCACAAACCGCTGCTAATCCTGTAAGCTAGGATCAACAGTAGATACCGGAACACTGAAGTCCGTTGCGTCCCAGGGACATGAATGTCTGTATTGGATCCCGCAACGAAATAAATTGGAAGATATTTGAGGAGAAGAAAAAACAAAATAGTTCATTTCACTCGATAAATTAAAAGCAGGAGACAGAATTACTTAAGGAAAAATCAGTATTGAATGACCTCCCCCGGCCAGGGTAAGGAAAAAGAGAGAGAGTGTCAGACTCTTGCTGACAAAAACCCCCCGTTCCTTCTCCAGGTCTGGGCCGAGGCCGCGGTGACTCATTGCGCTTAACCCGCAACCATGGCTGAACATCAGCACTATAGAGCCCCGTCTGTGATGGTCTATTGGCCTGGGTAAGTTTACATTTGTATCCCAACTAGGGGTCCACCGGTCTTCTAGCTGGGGGTGCACTCACGACTGATGCTACTCCTCAGCCATACATACCCTCGCCACGCACCAGAACTTAGTATTAGAGGATTTTTTATAGAGGTTATCTTTCTCGCGGTCCGGGCGGTTAAGCCAAGACCCTCATCCCGGTCCGAGTCATAAAACTGAAAATGACCATGATTTTTTCCCGGATTACGATACGACGGGTGTTGTCGGGCGCAACTAGTGCCCCGATGCTACTCGTTGGCAGGGTGAGTGCGCAACGAGTGCCGCCCTTGCTCCTTCGCCACGTTATGTGCTAGGTCCACAGGATCGTGCGGAGTAATGCCCCCACGGAGGCGTAAACCCTATGCCGGCACAGAGCCAGTCGCCTCTAGAAGCTGACCGGTTTCTTCGCTCGGCCAGAAGTTCATAGTCTGTGTGCGACAGTTAATCCAACCCTGTCCCCGTCCTGTTAGGGAGAATGTCGCCCGCACCCAGCGTGAACCACGGGGAGGTCTTCTGGCACGCATCCTCCAGGGTGCACCACAGGGAGGTCTTCTGGCACGTACCCCATGACTTAAGCCAGAAGACTGCCTTAAGACTTAAAAGCACAAAAGAAACTGTACAACTGGGAGATTCCTAGTCACCAAACACCACGGAACAAGTATTATTGTAATATTTATATTATAGTTTTAATTCTTTTATGTGATAGAACGGCAAACAAGTTGATTGACATACCTAACGTATGACCTGCTCGTAAGCAATCAGTGCCATCTATGGACACCCGCAACAACAAAGAAATAACTGGCGCGTTGCCGACCATTTGGGTATGAAGGTTTTGTAAATTTAGGGATTGACGGAGGAGGCCTTCGGTAACCTCTCTCACACGGCGAAACACAAAAATCTAGGTTTTTCACGCCGGTTTATATGAAGCCGTAGTATCACTCCGGTCGAGCCGACCCTTTCGTGCCGAAACATGACTCTCCCTCGCTTAATAATATTGCTTAATTCTTACATCCATATCAAGGTACATTATCGGGTTTAATTTTAAACAAAATTTATCTTGTTATTAGGTTGCTTATGATGAATCTTAACTTAATGACAAAATAGTAGAATGAATAATAATCACTTTTGTATGCGTGATAAATTCCATAAATTTTTGTTTTGACTTGTTAGGGATTTGGGGATTGGTTCACTGGTACGACAGGGACAAGGTTCTTTACAATTTTAAGGTAAGTTAGGAAAAATTTTTGTTATATTTGACACAAAAAATACTACACCACAATTCAGTAATATCAAGCAAAATTCATTTAGATCTTAGTGAGACAAATATCTTTTTCGACATTTCAAAAGAAGTACAGAATTTGGTAAGTCATTCTTTTTACTTTTAAAATATCGGCCTTTTCTCAATAATGTGGATCTATACAATGAACAAGTTAATAATGTTAAACGAATAATGGTTCACCAGCTATAGCTTGGCCTTCTATTCTACAGTGATTTTCTCCACGTAGTATTTTAAAGTACCCGTTGTCGCCCCAGCCTGGGTTCCAAGAGTTTGCTATGAGCCAGTACTTAACGCCATTTTCGACTCCCCAGCCCAACAGCTTGACAGCGTGCCTGCCAGCTTGCGCCCCTTCTGTATGCACATATACTCCTTTCTTGTAATGACCAAAGTCTGTATACACATCAAATGAAACTTCTATGGGCCCATTTTTGTACAGCTCAACTTTTATACTCTCTTCGTTGGAGTCAATACTAAACACTCTCTTGGCAAAACGCTTGTCCTTTGTATATTCTGTACCATAACCAGATTCGCAAGTTCTATCACAAGGTGGAGTGTCAACTTCATTAGTACAAGGTGGCAATGGACCATTACCAATAGTGTGATTACACGGAGGTATCCCGTATGGTCTGCATCCCTCTCTCGAATTATAATTCCCTCCGGACACAATGCCACTTTCCTTCCAATAATTCCAAGCTGCTGTAGGATAACCCCCGTGACAACCATCGCCGCAGCTATCGCAGCAAGTAAGAAGATCATGAGCAGAGAAATGGAAATTTTGTTGGCCGTTAGAATACGTACAGTACCTATCAGTCATGGTTTCCACAGCTCCGAGCGCCCAGCAACTTCCACATGAACCTTGGTCTCTTATTTCACTCAAGGAAGAGCAGTTCGGCCATTTCTCTCTCGGATCAAAGCTCTCTGGAAGATTATCACGAGTTTCCACATCATCGAGGTGATCGACTTTTTCCAAATCATGGAAATATTTATCTTCCAAGACACACAGTAAATTCTGTATATATGAAAATGGTGTATTCTCCGGAAAATTTCGACCAGCTGTCCAAAAGTTTTGCTTGGAATTGATTAAGTCAATAAATTAGTCAGACATTGGATCCAGTTCCTGGTGGCCGTTGACTGCAACAAGAACACACAACACAACAAGAGCTACCCAATTAATAGCCATCTTCGACGACATTTCGTACGTATAAGCTATAATATGTGATGGTGTACTCATAGTGCACCTTTATATAGCTCATGACTATCACAAAACTATTCCTTTTATTACAAGTGAATAATTCTAGCCACTAACTTATCATAGTAGTGGATAGAACACATTTATTATCTATTGGATTTTCAAAATATTTTTAGGCATTTATCGACGTTTTATGATCATTTTTGTCGCGTATATTTATAGATTTGTTTAGGTATACATATGAAGTAAATTATTTGCCGAAGAAGATTTAAATCTATTTCATATCATGTCACAATAATAAATTAATATTTGTATTATCGTTTTAATTATTTTATGTTATAGGACGGCAAACGAGCTGATGGATTAACTGATGGTAAACAATCAGCGCCAGCCATGAACACCCGCAATAACGGAGAAGTAACGAGCGTGTTCCGACCATATTGGTATTAGAGTTTCCTTGATTTAGGGATGGGGGGAAGGGACTGGACTTCGGTAACCTCATTCACACGGCGAAACTCAACGATCTGGTTGTTTCACGCCGGTTTATGTAAGGCCGTAGTATCACTTAAGTCGAGCAGTCCCATTCGTGCCGAAACACTCCCACACTTAATAATATTGTTTAGTTCTTAGAATAGAATTCGCGACGAGGCAATACTTATAGTAATTTTTCCACTCCACAGGCCAGCAGCCTTATTGCGTGGTTGTTAACTTTCTTTTTTATATTCTTTGTAATAAAAAAAGTCTTCATAAGTCATGAAGACCGTCTCTATTGGCCCGTTTTTTAACAGTTCAGCTATAGGTCTGGTCATATGAATCTACTTCATACACTTTTTAACCAAAACGCTCAGATTTTCTATAACTTTCAAAAGACTCTCATGTTTGGTAACAAGTTGGAATGAGTACAGTTTCATTACCAGGCGTCGATGGACACTTGGCGCTACTGTGGTTACAGGGAGGTATCCCGTTTTGTATGAAATACTCTTTCGAATTATAATTCCCTAAAGAAACAATATCATTATTTTGCCACTAATTCCAAGCTTAACCAGCCTGACCACAAACATTGCCGTAGCTATTACATCAAGTAAGAAGATCATAATCCGGGAGGTAGAAATTTTGTTTGCCATTAGAATGTAGTTTTTTTTTAAGCAATCAGCGCCGCCCATGGATACTCGCAACGGAGGAGTTACGAGTGCGTTGCCGACCTTTTAGGGATTAGGGATTTGGAGATTTAGGGATTGAGGAGGGATTGGGGAAGGGGAAGGATTGGGCCTCCGGCACCTATCACTCATGGCCCAGCAACTTCCACATGAACCGTTATCTCTTATTTCATTCAAGGTGGGGCAGTTCGGCGATTTATCCCTCAGATCAAGGATCTCTAGGAGATTATTACAAATTTCTACATCATCGTGTGTGATCATCATTATCATCAAAGTTGTTTTTTCAAAATGTGGAAATGTTTATCATCCATAGCACCAAGCTAATTCAGCAAGTATGATATTGGTGTTTTCGCCGGTAAGTCCACCAGCCGACTAAAAATTTTTCGGAGAATTGATTGATTAATAAATTCATCAGACAATTGATTCAGTATCTTGTCTCCATTGACTGCACTAAGAGCTAACGTTATACCAAATATTACGACAACTGTCAATTTTTGATAAAAACCCAATTAATGTATTTATTTTACTTATAGTCAAGAGTTTATGTATCCTATATCAAATTAACTATTCTTTATATTTAACAATTTAACCTCACATATCATTAGATAAAAACTTATTTCAAATTATTATTTTTATCCATACTTTACACAACAATTTCCTTTACGTTCTAGGTTACGTATTTTACCTATTACCTATGTTATGTCTTTGACATTACTATTTAGAGAACGCGTCAATAGTAATGTTCGCATGTAAATAATTGTTATCCTAAATAGGTAGGAGACCATCGTTAATTTTATTACAAGGACCTTGTGGAAACCAGAATAAATTTCCGTGCGTTGAGGCGTTTTTTCCATACCATTACTAGAAACAAGTGTAAGAAGTGTGAGATGTCCATGAGCGGCGTTGATTGCTGGTCATCAGGTAATCAAAGTACTCGTTTGTCGCCCTAACGCATAAAAATAATGATCTAATTAAAAAGATTTATCATGAACCGATGCTTCCCATTTCTGCAAAATAACACTAAGTAACTGTCGTGGTGGCCCCGAGGTTAAGGCGCCCGCTTCTCATGCATGGGGGTGTTGGTTCGAAACCTGGCAAGTACCGATGTGACTTTTTTCAAGTTATATGTACTTTCTATGGTTATTTTGACACCACTGACATACTTAGTTATAATTTTTAATTAGAAGTTTGAAATCGCCAATCCGCATTGAGCAAGCGTGGTGATTAATGCTCAGAAGGTTAGAGCATGAGAGTGGAGAGAGGCCTTTGCTCAGCAGTGGGCACTTATAGGCTGATGATGATGATGAACACTAAATAACTCTTAAGACACCTGCAGGATAAGAAGGAAGGAGTAGCCATAGCCCAGAAAATATACGATACAGTTAAGTTTTCTAGATTCCATTGATGTCGTATTGTGTCGTTGAAATTATCCAGATTACAATTTATGTACTTAGAAAAACCATTTTCAATGTTTTTTTTTTTGATGTCCTGGTCACAGTTCAATTTGAACCAAAGAAGATTCTTGATGCTTTTCGCATTACGAATGAAGTATCAAAATTAGATACGACCCAAATACTTTGGATAAAAAAAATCCTCGCTAACAAATGAACAATTAAAAACTTTTCAATCAATACATTAAATAGGCCGCTTACTTTTTTTTAATTTTGCAATAAATGCCGTTGTTAAGGCACTTGGGCGACATTAATACTTTATGAAAAGCCGTCAATATCCGCTAATCCTTTTAACGCTTAGACAATAAAATTTCAATTTTATTGATGACGAAAAAGCGAGGTATTGGAATTTTGTAATTGAAAACCAATTTCGATAAAAACGTAATCTAATAAACAGGTACTGTAATTTATCAAAAGTGGACAGTTATTTTGATTGTTTATACGAGAGACGGACGTTAAAATAAAGATTTCACAAAACATTTACATTTTAAATCTCTCTCTCTCTCTCTCTCTCTCGAACTTTAGATCTACACATTACCGGAAAGAAATTCATAACACGTTTGTAAAATATAAATAAATACGTTATAGCAATCTTTTGTTTGTATATCAACCTCATGTTTTTGACTTGGACAAATATTGGTTTTGAGAAACAAAGATTCTACAAAGAAGGCTTTACTAGGATCTTTGAAATCAGTATGAGGGTCTAGAGTGGAAGTCGTATAGACAGTCCGGAAATTCATTGCTTAGGCTGTACCCGCCTGTTCCATGTCTCGTGACCGATCGAGGCCAAGGAAAATGCCCTATGGTCACCGTAAGCCATTTATTCTATAACCTTTCTCATAATAAAGACACAAGCATCCACATTATAAGGGAAACTTGACTATGGACACTTGATCCTTATGGGACTAGGTACACAACATTCACTGAATTTCTATGACCGCTATCTACATAGAATGGCAAGTAATGTATAGTTATTTCTCAAATATTGATAACTGATTTTGGACACTTGAGCAGATGGCGAACGATTACCAATTATAATCTGTGTTACAAGATATTTTTCCTGAGACATTTTAGGTTATTTATTGAGATTTAAATAGCCATGTACTTATTCTATATTCTGAAAGATTAGATTATTCTAGATCAAGTGGCCCTTAATGTTTAACATGTATTATAATAATTTTACTTCAAAAAAAATAACATTGCCTATATTCGGGGCAGGGACAATAATGTAGTGCTGCGTCAGCATGGTGCAGGAGAAGGAACATAGTTCAGTCTGCTTGTGACCACGACCTGTGCAACCGGGTCGAAACGTCAAGCCTACCAAGGTATTCAAATTATAATTTTCCGCGTTAATACCCGCGTAAATATAATGTTGTTAAGATGAAACGCGAAAGTTTAAAAGTTAGTAGGAACATAGTTCTTTTTAGACTGTAAGAGTCTGACACTCTATCTCACCCCACCTGGGAAGAGAAAAGTCATTTGATTATTTTCTGCCCTGAAAAAAATCCTATTTACTAATAAAAGTTATTTTTTAATACCAGAGATATTTATAATTTTAATGCAAAGGTAGAGAGAGATTGAAGTTTAAGATAAATTATGACATAAAAGGTTAAACAGGAAAATAAAATTACCATTTCACATCACGTTCTTTAGGATTATAAAGAATACAATGTGTCATTAAATGGTGAGCAGAGATCCTATGAACATTGTACGCGAGTAATTTGTCCACGGTTTGTCTCGTAATCCGCTTCAATCATGCATTGCACGGTAGGTCACTGGCGAAGTTAGACGTGTTTGGGATAATTCTTCAAGAAAGGATGTAACTAATTTAAAAATACAAAACTGTAAAGAAAGGCAGAAAATCATATCAACATACGTCCAAAGAATAAAAGTTATTGATTGTAATAAAATAAAAACAGTGTAACCAATTTATCGCGATAATTCACATTTCCGTTTGCTACTCCATTTTGCAAGTGATAAAACGCGCAACGTTCAATTTAGAGTGTATCGCTTTCAAACAATCGATGAAATAACTGATAAGTTAGAAAATACAGGAAACAATGAAAAGCGCATTACCTTATACGTTTGTTGTTCTCGTTCTGACATATACGCGAGTTGCTGCGAACCCACTTTCAGATAAAGCCATAAAACGGATTAATTCAAAACAAAAGATGTGGACAGCTGGCAGAAACTTCCCGGAACAGACATCGAGAAAATATATCAGTAATCTTGCGGGGACTTTGAAAGACGACACTCAACAAAATCTTCAGTTAATAAATCATCCTATTGATTTGACAGTTGAGCTGCCAGATTCCTTCGACCCGAGAGACAAGTGGTCGAAATGCACTTCTTTAAATGAAATCAGAGACCAGGGCGCTTGTGCAAGTTGCTGGGCAGTAGCTGCAGTGGCTGCGATGACTGACCGATACTGTATATTTTCAAAGGAGAAACAACAGTTTCATTTCTCTGCCGAGGATTTGATCAGTTGTTGTGAAACTTGTGGACTAGGATGCGTTAAAGGGCTTCATTTCGCGGCTTGGGATTACTGGACGAAACTAGGACTTGTATCGGGAGGCAACTACAACTCGAGTGAAGGCTGCAAACCTTACAATACACCGCCAGGAGAAAATTTTGTGACAGAAGAGATGCCATCTTCAAGCCGTATAGTTGATATATCGAGCTGCAAGATGTTCTGCGAATCCAGCTATAACGTTAAATATCGGAATGACAAACGCTATGGCGATAGAGCCTACATCATAGAACGTAACGAAAACCAAATAAAAATTGAACTTTATTTCAATGGACCCGTAGAAGGTGTGATGGAGGTTTACACGGATTTTCTGAATTACAAATACGGTGTTTACAATTATACGGAAGGTGAATCAATAGGTCACCATAGCGTTAAAATTCTAGGTTGGGGAGAGGAACATGGTCACAAATATTGGCTGGTAGCAAACACTTGGGGCAAAGGTTGGGGTGATGAAGGTTTCTTTAAAATTATACGCGGTGTCAACCATTGTGGCATTGAAGATTCTATTGTTGCAGGTGAACCAATTATATTTAGTTTGAGTTTAAAAAAAGAAGTGTATAAATTTTAGTTTTTATTATGGTATCTATTGTGTTCTTTTTAATAAAAGTCTTTTACAATGTTGAGTCTTTTAATGCACCTTTCTGAGCGACATTCTTAGGTGGTTACGAAATCTCTAAAATGCGAGATGCTGGAAAAATAGGGAAACTGAATTGAAACTGGAAATGTCCGAACGAGCTCTCAAATTTTATTACAACAAAAGCAGCAAGTGGAAACTATTTTCATATTTGTAAAATTCGTTGTCTCTGATAATTTTATGGAATATCATTTCGTTCGTGTTACTACCAAGCCTGATCGATATTTGAAAGCCTTCGTAACATAATAATGTAAGTATGTCGTTCCCTACACCGCACATTATGAACCAATCACTATTGAACTCTAAGAAATATTGAAAAATTTCTTGTGTGTGATAGGGTGCCGATGACCAGATCGATGGTAAGCAATCGGCACAAATTCATAGGCACCTCGAACACGAGAGAAGTTCAGCAAAGAAGATTAGGAAAGGAATGGTGGACATAAAGGTTTGGGCCTCCGGTAACCTCCCTCACACGGCGAAGACAACGCAGTGGTTGGTTTCTGTGAGGTCGCCGGTTGAGTCGTCCCATTCGTGCCGAAAATTGGCTCCGCAATATTTTTTTTTATGTAATATGTCGGCAAACGAGCGACGGATTAGCTGATAGTAAGCAATCAGCGCTGCCCATGGACACTCGCAACGGAGGATATACGAGTGCGTTACCGACCTTTTAGGGATTAGGGTTTTGGAGATTTAGGGATTGGGTAGGGATCGGGGGAGGGGGAGGACTGGGCCTCCGGTAACCTCACACGGCGAAACACAACACTGTGGCTGTAAAACGCCTGTTTTCTGTGAGGCCGTGGTTTCACTCCGATCGAGCCGACCCAATCGTGCCGAAGCATGGCTCTGCCACAATTACAGGCATTTTGTTGAAATAAAAAATACTTTTTTAGTATTTTTATATTTAACAACTCCTTTAATTGCATGAAAAAATGTAAACCCCTAAAATCTTGCAGATATTAGAAAAACAGTTATAAGATTTACGTCTTGAAATTAAAACAGCTTACCCGCAAACTATAAAAGAGAAGATAACTTTTTATAACATAAAATTACCGTTAGATAAAGGAAACAATCGCCGGGTTGTCAACGGGAACACTCAAAATTTAAGATTATCCCCGGAACAAAATAAAGAGATAAAAATCAAGATACTTTTGATCGCCCTGTAACGATCGGTTAAAAGTATATTTCTGAGCCGGGTCTTAGTAGCATCATTATCGAATACGTTATCGATTTCATGGATACAAGGGGCATAGAAAAGGGTGTTTGTTTTGAGGGCACAGACAACCATCAAAGGGTTTTTGCTGCACTGGATGGGGACGAGAATGATTGTTGTGTAAAGAAAAGGCCTACTTCTGCTCCTGTAGATCATTGTTCTTTACCAGCGACCACAGAAATAGATGCCTTAGAGAATGTTACAGTTCTCATGAATTCTGATGATCTGATGAAAACCACATAAGTATTAACTCTAAGAAACTGTCTCAGACCATTGTTATACCCTACACACGTTATGAAACCGCAAACGTTAGATGCATAAATAGGTACTTATGTTAGAAATAGTCCTTACTTTAAGGTAAGATGTCGATCCGATATCGGAGCACTCAAATAGAATATTTAAAAGCTCGTCCGGAGTTTCAAGCCCTTATTTATCGAAGGTCGATAATGAAAAAGTACAGGATTGGCACAGGTGTTTAAAGAGTTCAGTAGCTATATCGCTGAACGATCAATTTGCAAAATTAATCAACGTCACTCAGGCAGACTGTAGCAATTTAGGTTTACTTTTTTTCTTTATTACCTTTCATCTATGGACTAAGCTTTTAATACACGTTTAAAGTGCTGTACTTAAGTGAACGCCTGTTGCGATGTCTTTTCTAATTCAGGACTTAAAGTGATTTTTTTCTGATGTATCATAATTAGCCACTTACTGGAACCATGAAAATTGTTAATATTCGTCTCTCAGATTTAGGAGAGTATATTAAGCCATCAGTCCTGGTTGAAACATAAAAATTAATGACTTTTTGGGTGATCAAAATATACCCCAAAAGGCGTCGTGTGTGACACTCTATTACACACGCCTCAATAGCCTTGAGCTCAAACTAAATAAAAACGTTACTTTTATGCACCTAATCAAAAGTATGTGTCCATAAGGGCATTAGATGTGTTCTGGCTTTTTTCGAGAATTCGGGTAAGAAAGTTTCGGGTCAAAAGACCCCGGCCTGGTGCAGGAGAAAGAACGGGGGGTTTTTAGTCAGTAAAGAAGAGTCTGACATGTTATTTCATGAGAGCAACTAACAATATGTTATCTTTAACATGTATTGTGAGAGCTCCCATGAAAAACATTGTAACATTTAGATACTAATATTATAAAGAGGTAAAATTTGTAAGTTTGTATGTAGGGGGTAATCTTTGGAGCCGCTGCGCGCTGGTCGGATTTCCAAAATTCTTTCACTGATAGATAGCTACTATGTTCTTGAGTGCTAAAACATCACGCTATGATTTAATGAAGCCGAGCAGCGAGTGAAACCGCGCGAGAGTAGCTAGTATTTAATACATATTAATTACCATGTTTAATCTAAGTAATTAGTGATCATTTGTCAGTCTTCAGCTAATATATACTATTTACAGGTCATATAACACTCGTTAGCTTTCGATTTAACAATAGAATTTAATTAATCAGATTTCCAGATTAGACTGATTAGTATCAGGGATTAATTGGTACTTAGTAGTGTTTGTTTATTCGATAACGGCCTAACTGATACTTTAGCAATTTAATTAACAAATAAGGCGTCTCGGATGGCTGCTTTGTTGGCAAGTAATATACCTATAAATAAATAAAAAAAAAGTCGTTGCCCCACATTAGGATTTTCTTCTGTGTCGTGGGTGCGTTTACAAACATAGTAATTTCACATGCATGCAATTCTATTGTTGTGGTGTTACACATACCAGAAGTTAAGGCGCTTTCTTTGGACAAAGGGCATTTCAGACTACATTTTTATTAAACGAAATATTTATACAATAAGCTATAAAAAGAATTAAAAATTACAGACAGAGTTACGTACAAACACGCCGATATTTTACGAACCCTGCATAAAATATCACTAGTTGGCTACAAGTGGCTGAAAAACGCAAGCATGCATCCTAATCATCATCATCATCCAAATTTCTAAGACCATGAATCACGGCACAATTATACTCCGTGGAGTGTAGTCCAAGAAAAGTTGAAGGCACGCGGTATAGGATGTACCTACTGACCAAATAAAGGCAAAAAACTTTCCTGTCCATGACTGGCTGCGATACCACAAGAAAGGCGTGAAAAGAAACGCGATGGCACTGAAAATGTTTCTGATTGACGACTAAAAAAATTTAATTTACTTCTTAATACTTATTGAACTAAGGTTAATTTGAGAGAAAACTCAATAAAACTATGGAGAACACACTCCTCCCGAATAGAGTAGTCACGAAATGGAATACAGTAACAGACTGTAATGCTTTTAAAAACAGACTGGACAATATCTCCAAAATTGTTAATACGTACGCGTCAGCTTCCTAAGCTGGTAGTGGTAAGTGTGGGAGAGCCATGCTTCGGCACGAATGGGTCGGCTCGACCGGAGTGATACCACGGCCTCACAGAAAACCGGCGTGAAATAACCACTGCGTTGTGTTTCGCCGTGTGAGTGAGGTTACCGGAGGCCCAATCCTTCCCATTCCCCAATCCCTCCTCAATCCCTAAATCTCCAAATCCCTAATCCCTAAAAGGTCGGCAACGCACTCGTAACTCCTCCGTTGCGAGTGTCCATAGGCGGCGCTGATTGCTTACCATCAGGTAATCCGTCTGCTCGTTTGCCGAGCTATTATATATAAAAAAAAAAAAAGTGTGTTCAAATATGATATGTATATTAATATAATATAAGGTAATCAATTTAATTATTTGTCGATTTAAAACTGTACAAGTAGTTTTATTATATAGATATTATTACCGTGGTTGTGTTCACTTCAATATTATTAAACAAACAATACTTACTCATTCTTTCAATGAATCATTCTAACATGTGTCGCCATTGTGTACATACTAAGGAACAGTCACATAACATCAAAACTAGGCTGCAACAATTTATTATTATGTTTTTATAGTGTTTGCGGTTCCGTACAAATTAAAGTAGCGATGTTAATTTTATTTATTTAAGGTAAGGAAGTTTACTTAATATTATATTTTATTTAATTAATCGCAATTTATTTAAATCATTTTTTGAAATAGCTGCTTTGATTCTAGCTAGGTAGGTACATACAGAATTGCAATAAGAAGAAATCATGTATGTATTGTTTTCTTAAGATTATCTGTGTAAGTTTGACATCGAATGGAAACCTTGTGATGACGTCATAAGGTTTCAATTTGATTTTTAATTTGTATTTTCTTATTTCCTTGTGTGTCTGTTAGTTCTGCTACTCCGGGAGTTTACAGTTGTAACCAAACCTTGGTTATTTTCTTACCTCCATCCCTTCATCTATATTGAAGGCATTTAAGTTAGTCCATGATGTAATGTGATGAATAATATGACAATAAATGTTTAGTATCGAAGTGCTGCTATAGTACTTTCGTATTATAATAATAACTTGTAATATTTTTCGATTATTTTACAAATTTAATCAGTTTTAGGAAATAAATCAAAATTTGTATAACGAGAATTTTAGCAATAGGTACCTATTACTATAGGGAATATCCACTTGAATTTTACAAAACAAATTATTGGTGTGGGTTCTTATCAGCATCCAATGTGTGTTTTAATTAACAACAGTTACGAAGTTTATAATATATTTTCCGCCAACTTGTTATGCTACTCATAACTTTAACTATATTGTAATTTAAACTTGTTACAACACTTGTAAAACAATTGAACAATAATTAAAATAGTCTATAGTATTTTATTCAAGAGGTATAAGAGTAATTTAGAACACATACTTGAACCCTGTGAAATGTTCCCGAATCATCCAGATAACCCTACATGGGAGCTAACACTCACGCGCTCGGATCCCCAATTAATTACTTCCGACCGATACAAAACAAATGTTTACTAATGCTTGTAAAGCGTTCGCCCATAATATTTGTTTGTCTCGTGTTATCTCGAGGTATACATGTATTGTTAACCTTCGACACGGCCGGTCAAGCGCTGTCTCGTCCCTGTTGACCGTGTCGTGCGCTCCGATGCAATTACACGGCGTGCGAGCACGGGTATCAACTACACCCACCGCGGCCGCCGCTCAGTCGTCGCGCCACATTCGCTCCGTATACACATCCATTAATCGCTCGGCTGTGAAAAAGAAAATAAAAAGTGAATAATGGTCGCTTCGCGTGCAACGTTTGTTGCGCTCGTGTGCACACTCGCGCTCGCCTCCGCCAGTGTGGAGGATCTGCTGAATCCACTCACCGACGAGTTCATCAATCTCATCAACACGAAACAAAACTCATGGAAAGCCGGCAGAAACTTCCCAGTGAACACACCGCTCACACATATCAAGAAATTAACGGGTGTGTTAGTCGACACCCACTTGTCAAAACTTCCAAAAGTTGAACATGATGCTGATTTGATTGCGGACCTCCCAGAGAACTTCGATCCACGAGACAAATGGCCGAACTGTCCCACACTAAATGAGGTGAGGGACCAAGGATCATGCGGTAGCTGCTGGGCGTTTGGCGCTGTGGAGGCAATGACCGACCGGTACTGTACATACTCGAATGGAACCAAACATTTCCACTTCTCGGCAGAAGATCTTCTGAGCTGCTGTCCAGTCTGTGGACTTGGATGCAATGGAGGTATGCCGACTTTGGCTTGGGAGTACTGGAAGCACTTCGGTCTCGTATCAGGAGGTAGCTACAACTCGAGTCAGGGCTGCAGACCGTACGAGATCCCTCCCTGCGAACATCACGTCCCCGGCAACAGGATGCCTTGTAACGGTGACTCTAAAACACCTAAGTGCCACAAGACTTGCGAGTCGAGCTACAATGTAGACTACCACAAGGACAAGCGCTACGGCAAACACGTGTACTCAGTGTCAAGCAAAGAGGATCACATCAAGGCTGAGTTGTATAAGAACGGGCCCGTCGAAGGTGCGTTTACAGTGTACTCAGACTTACTGAATTACAAAAACGGTGTTTACAAACACACGGTCGGCAACGCTCTCGGTGGACATGCCATTAAGATTTTAGGTTGGGGAGTGGAGAATGGGAACAAATATTGGCTGATAGCGAATTCATGGAACAGCGATTGGGGTGACAATGGATTCTTTAAAATTCTGCGTGGTGAGGACCATTGTGGCATCGAGAGTTCTATTGTAGCCGGTGAGCCGCTTCTTGTTGATGTTTAATTGTTTAGTAATCTAGACAATTAGTCGAGTGTATCTGTAAATACTGTCATGTTTACTTCCTACAGTACCAAATATGTTTATAAATAGTTTATTATTATGAATAGTAGTGACGATATTAATTATAAAACAAATTTATATTTTGTATAAAAATAAAGTGATTGTTTTGTAAACGGTTATTATTTTCATTCTTTTCCCGAGAGTCATAAGTAGACATACGTAATTATTATAATTGACATCTGTCTAAGCATTGCAGATAAAATGTTTATGAGTTAGTAATTAGCGGAAAATAACGTTGTCACAAGTAATAGAATTATCAGTGTTTTTATATTTACAGTACAAAGTTCATTGGCTTACATTCATTGTGAACAATGACATCGTTAGATATTTTAACAAATTAGCTTATGATAGAAGAGTTGGTATGTTTCAAACAATTTATTTAATGTACCCACATTTCTATAAATAAACAGATGATAAAATTATGTGTTTACATAAATATAGATATCTATCATAGTCAGTGTTTGAAAATCTTTTACTAAATAGTGTGTGGCTAAAAGAGATATATCATTATACATGTGTACTTACCACTGTTAAGTTATATATATATATGTATTTATGGATCATCATTAACAGTTGTTTTGTTACGCTTTCATGCTCAAATTACTCAATCGAGTTCCGAGTTCTTAGTTAAAAAATTGTTGAGACCTAATGGTAAGAGTATGAAAATATGAATATCTTACAAAATAATATCATGTAGGTACATTTAAAAAAATGTGTGACGTTATGGCCAGTAGACCACCACAGACGCGACCCAACGGTGCTGATGTTCAGCCGTGGTTGCTAGGCAAACGCCGCAATAATGTTCCGAGCCTTCAGACTGGAGCAGGCCAAGGGACGGTGTGGTTCTTAGGTTTTTAGTCAGTTAGAGTCTGACACTCCCTTTAAAGAAGTTATTTAATGATGTTCCCCCCACAAAAAATGTACAGATGTGACCTTCTTAACTATGCACATCAATATTTAACTCCCTTATGCTGCAATGAAAGCAAGAAAACAATTTCGTCTCACAGATAGGTAGATACCTAAAGACTAATGTGTACGAGTAGGTAAGAAGGATGGACCTAACTTTCACTGAACGTGCAGCAGCTTCACGACTTACGACTTTAGAAAATAGGTGGGTACTATCGTCGTGGATTGCTGTAACATTCTTAGGTAAGGGAAAGGTTTATTTGAGAGTACGATTACGTCCGTTAAGACCTTCAAACCTTCAAGAAACGAACGTATTCCTTCTTCAAGGCCGGCAACCTGTGAGTCCTCTGGTATTGCTGGTGTCCATGAGCGTGTCGTAGATCACTTACCATCAAATGATGATGATATTATAGTACCTAAGTACCAAATTATACGAAAATGTGAAATATTGTCGAAAGTATGAATCTATGGATAATTCGACCTTAATAACTGTCAAAGGAATTTGAATGAAATTTGGAACAAATATAGTTTTCTCCTTGGAATAACAGTTTTACTTGTGGACTAATTAATCCGAATGAACCCGCTGGCTGAAGCATGTTCAGTTTTAAGATATCAATCATAGAACAAAGTAGGGAACTGAAACAAATGAATTCACTACTGTCTTCTGCCCATCCTGGAGTTACATAAAAATATCACTAACATTCACTTTAATTTTTAGCATGTATTGTATTTTTATTTTGTATAACCTAATTGAAAATAAATTAAGAAATAAAAGAAAAACGACAGACATTTAATAAGTTATTTTGTTAAGGGCGCAATTGCGGAAATCAGTTATCCCCGGAGTAGGACGAATGGGAGTGTCATACTTCCCATTTCCTTCTCCTGCTCCAGGCCGTCTTCGCCGTATCTTATTTGCTCTCGACCCGCAACCCCTGGTATTTTTTAAGTTACGTCTGACTTATTTTTTCACAAATGACTGAAATAATTAGAACGCAATTAGTAAATATTTATATGGTTATATAATTGGTGTTATTTTAGTTACATAACATTAACTTATTGAAATATAAACAGGATAGGCTTATCAGCTAGAAAACCACGAGCTAGGAAGGAAAACAATAACTTTATTAAATAACATGTTTTGCAAGTTCGCCGTATAGAATGACATAGCTACAAACATATGGGCATAAGGTCCAAAATCATGCATAACTCTGGTCCTTAAGGCTGCACAGTAAGATATACGTTATCAGTCTATAATGGTCTTTATTTGTAAGATCTTAAAGTTATTAATAATTTTACCTGGCAATGATATTATAAGTAAAAAGGTGTAGATAGGTCATAAGCGCTAAGCAAGTGATACATTAAAATGTGGCTACTAGCCACACTTTTTCATATTTGTCTCTTTTTCAGTCGCGATTGAATTATGCCATCCCACTTTGACGTCTAATCATACGAATTGTTCATGTGTGCATCAGTGTGCCGTTTTTGAAAATCGAATGTTGTTTATGTAACTTATCTACACCATTTTACATAATATCATTGTTACCTGGGATTACCTCAGCTGTGCTGGCAGTTCCTGATCATCCAAAGGTTGTCAGAAAGAGATCGCAGAATGAGTCATGACCACCTCTTGTAGGTACATTTCTAGTACGTATTTTTAATTTCTATTACAAATATATACATATGTTCTCAATCTATGACAATAAATAATAAATAGAAAAAAAAATTCTGTAAGTATACACAACAGCCAGTTTATACCAGTTTATGAACGACTTGACTGCAATATGTAGGATCCATCTGTTTTTGAGAGCAGATAATCTTTTAATGACTTCTCGGCTTCTCTTGCCCTGGTTGGGACGATACGGAGTGTCAGACTCTTACTGGCTGTAAAAACGACCCACTTCCTTCTACTGCTCAGAATAAGCCGCAGTAGTAGCTATTGACACTCTAAAAACTGGCCAGCATCGCTCTGTTATTAATTATTATTTTAGAGTGAGAGTAGCTAGTGTATGAACACTAGCTACTCTCACGCGGTTTCACCCGCAGCTCGGCTCTATTTGATCGTAGCGTGATGTTTTATAGCCTATAGCACTAAGGAACATTGTAGTTATCAATAAGTAAAAGAATTTTGGCAATCCGACCAGCGGTTCCAAAGATTAGCCCCTACATACAAACTTACAAATTTTACCTCTTCCTCTTTATAATATTAGTATAGATTTATTCGTTTATCCACATCATCATATCATTACTCATTGCGCTCACTACCGTGGCTGAGGTTCACATCCTTCGTTCCCTCAACTTCACACCAACAGCGGGGACATAAGTATGATATACCTAACTATAAACGGAGGTTAAGGAGCCCGCTTCTCATGCATGAGGGTGTGAGTTCAAAACCTGGCAAGTACCAATGTGACTTTTCCGAGTTATATGTACTTTCTATGGTTATTTAGACACTAATGACATACGGTGAACGAAAATATCGTGAGGAAACCTGGACTTATAATTTCTAATTATAGGTTTGAAATCGCCAACCCGCATTGAGCAACGTGGTGATTAATGCTCTAACCTTCTCCGTATGAGAAGAGGCCTTTGCTCAGCAGTGGGCACTTATAGGCTGATGATAATGATGAAATGTAAATTACTGGGTCTAAAATAAATTTTAAAACATCGCAGCACAATTTATCAAATTCCGATTAACAATTTCGTTGGCATATTTCGAAACTTCATCTCGCTAATTGATAACCCGATTAATTAATCGTGATCGTTGATTCCAAAAGTTTTACTAAGTAAGTAATCAAAAACAATCGAGTTCGAAACAATAATATAATAGGTAGGTATCTATAGATTTATGTATTTTTGTTCTCTGGAAAGTAAGTACGAAACTCATTTTTATTGTCTGTCTATATTATCATTCCCAGAGTTCAGGCCTTTGGAAAGTGTACGAGGAGCTGAATGCAACTCGCAGAGGCCCTTTGAACAACTTAAATGTTGATGAAATGGGACATAATCCTACGATTATCCCTTTATGCACTATGAAAGTGCATCTAACGACAATACCCAGTTGATGCAGGACTATGAAAATATGAAAGAAAACTATATGATTATGGGTGTGGGTGGCCATGGACTGATGGTGACTTGATATACCTATTATGATTACTATGAAAACATCATTATTTTGTTTGGTCTTTTCCTTTCACGAGACCACATGACCACGGACCTTTGGAACGCGTACGAGGGGCCGAAGCCAACTCGCAGAGTCCCGTTGAACAGTTTTAATCTAAATGTGATAGGACATCACATCATTATTAATATTATATTATCAGCCGGAAGCGTGGACCACATACATACAGTGAGGCAGATTGTACAGAAAACCGAAGAGTATAATCTGCCCTTATGCCTGGCGTTTGTGGACTACGAGAAAGCCTTTGATACTGTCGGAACCTGGGCTGTTCTGGAGTCCTTGCAACGGTGCCAAGTCGACTGGCGGTATGTTCAAGTGTTGAGAGATCTATATGATGCTGCCACTATGGTCGTTCAAGTACAGAACCAGCAGTCTGAACCTATCCACCTGCATCGGGGCGTAAGACAGGGGGACGTTATTTCCCCCAAACTGTTTACTAATGCTTTGGAGGATATGTTCAAGACGCTGCGCTGGAAAGGCCGGGGCCTAAATATTAACGGCAAGTATCTCTCACACTTGAGATTTACAGATGACATTGTAATCGTGGCTGAAACCGTGCAGGACTTACAATATATGCTGAACAGCCTGGCTGATTCTTCTGCTCGCATCGGACTCCGGATGAACCTACAAAAAACGAAGGTCATGTTCAATGAACATGTTCTCCCGGAGCCGATCACCATCAATGGATCTCCTCTCGAGGTTGTTCAAGAGTACGTCTACCTCGGGCAAACTATCCAGTTCGGTAGAAACAACTTCGAGAGGGAGGCCCGTAGGAGGATACAGCTTGGCTGGGCAGCGTATAGGAAACTCAGTCGGGTATTCTCGTCAAAGATACCGCAAAGCCTGAAGACAAAAGTCTTCAATGAGTGCGTCCTACCAGTGATGACATACGGAGCCGAGACGTGGACACTTACAGTGCGACTGATCCACCAATTTAAAGTCGCTCAGCGAGCTATGGAAAGGGCTATGCTT